CCTTAGCAAAGCGCATCCCAGGCTGCATAGCCGCACTACCCTACCCAACCATACCACACATAAACATGACACTACCCCCGGGGTTTACACAGACGAGCCGGCGAAGCAAGAAGAGCGCCAGAAGAAAGGGCCCTAGCCGGCGGGGCCCAGCCAGGACAAAAGGAGGTCCCACAAAGCGCCTACACCGGCCGCATTTGCGGTCGGGGTAGACGACGGATGGGGCCCACCTACGAAGGCTGTCCAGGCCTACACGAGATGAGGCAGGATAAAGAGGGATAATCCCCCTCGATCCCAAATCATTGAGGCCAATTTCTAGCCATAGAATAATGGCGCCAGTTAGTTGTTGTAGCGAGGTCTTAGTCTTAACCGTATTTGTTTTGTTCCTTGGCTTATGATATGAATGAAGAATAAATATTCGTTTCGTATGATGAACACTATGTTATGTTGTCCATGTACTGTTTTCTTGCAACCAACGGTTAAAAAATAAGTAGCAATTTTGTGATAAATACTAAATAACTAACGTAACTTTTCGAAATATATATATGTATATATATAATTTCGATTCCTTACCTTATTTAATATAAAAGAAAGAATATAAAAAATACAAGACAGTGTAATTATAATTGGGGACTCTATAAAGTACATATGATGCAAGAAGGTTAGTATTTTAATTAATATGTTTTTGAAAATTGTTAATATGATATTTCCACAGTAATAATTCATCAAGAAATAGGAGAATTCCTATGTCTGAAAGATTCTTTTGGGGAAACTTTTTTTACTAAAGAACGTACACTGCAATTAATTGATTTATATAGAAGATATAAACTTTTAGTAGGAACAGGAGAAATAAAAACAATGAAAAAATTATGGGAAGTAATAGCTAAAGATATTTCTAATTTATATAAAGTTACTGTAAGTGCAGCAAAATGCGAAAATAGATGGAAATGTCTAGAAAGAAGCTATAAAAAAGTAATAGATAACAATAGGCAAACGGGCAGAGGACTCAAAGTGTTTGAATTTGAAAAAGAATTTGACACAATTTATGGAAAAAAATGTAACATTAGGCCAGAAATATTAATTGACAGTGATCAAGTCATTAATACCTATGGAGGTTCAAAAGAAAATGGCAATTGTGCAAGTAAGTTGTTAGTGTTTTCTTTTTTTAGTTTTACTTTTCCCTATAAANGTGAAGAGTTGTGGCAAAGAATACAAATCGCTGCCAACGAAGTCAGACGCAATCACAATATGTTGTTTCAAACTCGAAGATCTCTCAGAAAACGTGTAAAGTGTATCAGTGTCAACGGTGGATTCTTCGAACAATTACTTTCTAAGCAACATAATTTTTCTAACGAGACCACATTCTGTTTAAAATGGCATAGTACATCGCCATAATTGTAGATATTCGTCAAATGACAATCCTCATTGGGCGCAAGAATTCCACAGTCGGCGTAAAGGTAAATTAAATGTATGAGTGGGAATCATAGGAAGGCGATTTTTAGGTCTTTACTTTTTGAAGAAAACCTCACTTAGAGTTGATGCCGGCTGTAGCAGTTCTTTTCCCCCAATGCTGCAGACGGCGATATACCCCTTGAAATGGAGCTCCACCTCACTTTGGCTTAGAGGCAGTGGCGTAACCAGAATGTAAAGTTGTGGGGGGCTAAAAAAATTCTTTAAATTTACATCAAAACGGTTTTAAAAGGAAAATATTAGTTTATTAGTTACTTGTTTATACAGGGTGTCCCACCACAAACTCCATCGATGGATATCTGGGAAACCGCTTGAAGGATTTTTTTGAAAATATGATGATGGTGTGATACAGATCGTGGGGCCTACCAAGTTAAAATATTTTCAAGGTCATCGTACTTCCGGTTATACCGGAAGTGGATACTAACTTTCTTATTTTAATTGGAACCCCCTGTATATTATTGCATTTTTGGAAATAGCATCTATTTTTAAGTTGAAAACATATAACACACTCCATACTTACGATTGACCGTTTCCGAGATATTTTGATTTTTAAGCAAAAATTAACAGATGCAGACTGTCAGCAAAAGTTAGTTTTCCCGGAAACATAGGTTTATTTTTTTGTGCAAATTGGACATGTTGTAGAGGAAGACCTAATTTATCGAATTTGAAATGAAAATTTTACAGTTTTTATACAGGATGGTCAAAAAAATTTTATCGAATATGAAGTTCAGAAAATGTGGAAAATTTTTAAATGGAAACTCCTAATTTTTTTAACGTATTCGCATTCTGCACTAAAATTTAGTGTAACTTTGTTAAAGTTTCCCTATAACTAAACCCAGTGACAATTAAAAACCTTTGACAGTTGTCATGTTGATTGTTACTTACCTGTCACGGCCAACCCAAAAATCTGCGAAACAAATGGAAACATCATTTTAAAAAAAGGGAAATGTTTATTCGTAAAGAAAATGAAAACCACTGGGTTTAGGTATAGGGAAACTTTAACAAAGTTACGCTTAATTTTAGTGCAGATGCAGAATGCGAATACGTTAAAAAATTAGGGGTTTCCATTTTAAAATTTCGAGTTTTCCACATATTCTGAACTTTGTATTCGATAAAAAAAAATTGACCAGCCTGTATAAAAACTGTAAAATTTTCATGTCAAATTCGATAAATTAGGTCTTCCTCTACAAAATGTCCAATTTGCACAAAAAATTAACCTATGTTTCCGGGAATACTAAATTTGACTGACAGTCTGCATTTGTCAATTTTTGCTTAAAAATCAAAATATCTAGGAAACGGTCAATCCTAAGTATGGAGTGTGCTATAGGTTTTCAACTTAAAAGTAAATGCTCTTTCCAAAAATGCAATAATATACAGGGGGTTCCATTTAAAATAAGAAAGTTAGTATCGACTTGCGGTATAACCGTAAGTACGATGACCTTGAAAATATTTTAGCTTGGTAGGCCCCATGGTCTGTATCACACCATCTGTTTAGAGCGCATGAAAATATATGTTTTTTTTAATATATATCCGCGGTTGTCATGAAAAAAAATAAGTTGTTGAAATTGGACAAAATACTAACGTCAAGAAAAAGTCAACGAAAAGTGTTTTCCCCGCTGTTTCTGTTTTTTAAAAGAACCCGATCCCGCTTTTGCTCTGTTCTCCCCGCTGTTTATGCTGCATTGGAAGACTCGCTATATTGCACGATTGGTGAAGGAAGATCTCTGTGTCGCGTCGGAGACACTTTTTTGAGGGTGAGTTCAATTTCATCATAACCGCTTCCATCTATACCGCACACCATCACAATTTCAAAAAAATCCTTCAAGCCCTTTCCCAGATATCCATCGATGGAGTTCGTAGTGGGGCACCCTGTATTTATAATATATTGTTCTTTTATAGTATATAAATTATATTTGCTAACTTAAAATAAAAGTGTAGATTTAAAAAAAGCTTTGTATCACATAAAAAAAACTAAACATTTTCAGATTCTATCACAAAAAATATTTCAAAAATCACAACAGAAAATAGCAAAAATCAAAATGCATAACCACAAAACATGTACAGCACAGACTACCAAGTACAGATTCTCAGCTCAACACAAATTATGACAGACCGCGATGCATTTATCAAGTACGCGATGCGATCGGCATACCCAGTGACGTAGTAAGTCAGGCAACATGTCCCTTTAGGAACCTTGACTGATGCCGAGATCCGTCCGTGCGCCAGCGGCTACATCTATGATAAAAATCGCGCGTCAGATCTTTGGGGGAGGCTAAAGCCCCCAAAGCCCCCCCCCCCCTGGTTACGCCTCTGCTTAGAGGTTCGGCAATATCTTGATGATACAACAATTTAGCAGACTTACAATTGAGAATTCGTTCTGAAATGGAAAGAATCAGCCCAGAAATTATTGAGCGTAGTGTACAACGTGTTTACACTCGCGCGGCCCAGTGCCAAATAGGATATTTTCACATTTTTCTTTTTACTTGAAAAATAGAAAGTACTTAAGCCATATATAACCAATGAATACTTTTTTTGTTTAAAAAAAATCGGTATAATAGTTTTAAAACAAATATAAATTTAAGTAAAATATTTGGCGCGAAAAATGCCTAATCGAGTACGACTGGTTGCCTAGACTATTGTGACGTAGGAACTCATATCAACAAAGCCAAATACAAGTATGTGTTGAGGTTGTTTTATTTACTCCTGTTTTTATTGAGATTTTGCCAAGTTTATTTACTTTTTTTAAATAATAATTACAAAAAGTAAGACATGTACGAATCACAAAATAAGTGGTGTTTTGTGCCCGGATGTAAAAATACTTCAATAAGTGCCCCTAATAAAACATTTATAAGTGTNTACAAGACTGCAAAAAACCATTTTTAATTCTCAACTTCAAGAGCTAATAACTCTACAGGGTGAGCCCGGAGGAAAAAATCTTATATGAACTTGTGACATTATTTTCTCATTATGTATCCATATCCGAGAAATTGCCCACCATTTCCGGGACACCCTGTATATATATTAAACTGCAAAAATCAAAAATTGTTATTTTTAACAGGTGCTGTCGATGGAAATTTCATTCAGAAAAAAGCAAATGCTGAGCAAGATATAGAGCAAGAAAACAAGGAAAAGGAAAATATTTTGGACACAGGAATCAAAAAGCCAACATCTCAAGTTATGAAACGAAAAAGATCCTATAGAACAGAAACGCACACATATAAAAAGAGAAACGAAATATTGATAGATATGAAGAATGACTTAAAAACTTATTATACTAATAAAATAGAGAACGACAAAAAAAAATTAGCACTGCAAGAAAAAAAACTTGATGATCAAATTATGAGAACGGCACTTTTGAGAGAATATGTCGATGTGATAAAGGAGCAAGGAAGTTTTTAATTACACTGGTTTTCATTTAATCCTTTCCTAAGTTGATATACAGGGTCTGCTAGACATATTTGCAATCCTTATTTATTTATATTCTGTTATATTTTTATAATCTATGTATTAGATAGGAATTTTTTTCTAGTTTGTTGATTTTTTTTAGTCTACAAAACAATACTGATATATTTATTTCTATGAAAACTGTATTTTATGATATAAAGACAGCTGTATAGTTTTAGATGTTTATTTAAATAAATTTATAAAAAGCAAATAATTTTTAAAAATATAATTTAATGTCCATAATAGTAATCACTGTTCAAATAAAACTGCAGCAATATAATTGCGATAATTATGTCCAGCAATATTTTCTTCCAAATTGATATCTTCGATCATATTCACAGGAGCATCATGTATGATTTCATCCTCTGCTTCAGCATTTAATGTGAGATTATATAAAACACAACATGCTCTAATAAAATGGCAAATACTAGTTATACTTCTCAATTTTAAGTGGTATAATGACCTAAATTTCTGTTTGAGCATACCAAATGTATGTTCAATTTTAATTCTGCAACGTGACAGACGATTATTAAAGTTTATTTCTATTTGAGTATTATTAGGACTATCTTTATAAGGTGTTAACAGATTTCTCAAACAAGGATATGCGCTGTCCGCTATTATAAATTTATCACCACATTTTTCTGATAAAGTATTAAAAAGTGACGAATTTCTGAACACACGGGCATCATGTACAGATCCTGGATATCCAATAAATATATCACATATTCTTTTCCTCGAATCACAGACTGCCTGAAACTAAAATTATAAGAAGTTAAACAAAATTATTTGGAATTTATAATTTTGATATATATCTACTAAAAATAATTCATAAATAAATTAGATTATGATTGTTACCTGTATAGAATAATATTTTTTTCTATTTATATATGATTCAGGGTCAGTGGCTGGTTTATCAATTTTGATATGAGATCCATCCAAACATCCTAGTACATTAGGAAAGTTGAGCCGGTTAAAGTCTTCTAAAATTTGTTTCTTTTCATCCTCTGATGGCCATTCTATTACTTGACTTGATTTGTAACTTAGAAATAAAGCTACATTATCTATTATTAAGTGTAATGTGCTGATTGCAACATTAAAACGATCAGCAACATCTCTAAAAGCTGCTGCTTCATGTGTCGCGTACCAACAAAATATTAACAAGCATTTTTCAGGAGAAACCCTCAAATGACCAGTGTCTTTTTTTGGGTACCAGTTGCTATTATGTAATTCTTCACTCAAGCCTAACAAAATGTGTCGAGGAACTTTAAAATGTTCTAGAAAATCTTTTTCTGTGTATAAATGCACAATACTTTCTGCATATTTTTCATTTTTCTGATGATGCAACAATATTTCTGATAATAAAAAGGGTTCTATGACTTCTTCATCCTCTGACGAACTACTTGACACAGCATTATTTAAGAATTCCTATAATATATATGTTTAATGTTATATGTTATATATTTAAACAAACATACAATTTTATTAATTTTTTCAATTTCTTACCTCTAAAACGGAATCCATATTATTATTATATTAATTATTACGCAGATTTCCATAAAACCTTAACCTCTATAAAAACTCAGGGAGTGATGATGGATAACAAAAGCGCATGTGCAACAGAAGTCAGAACTCCGAACTACGAACTAGTACCTGCTCTCATGCGAGAACTGTTCGAACAGTTCTAGAACTGTTACGAACTAATTCTAAAAAAAACCAAAACATAGGATTTATCTTTTCAGAGCCGGTTCTGGAAAACCAAAACGCTGTTTGCAAAGTGCGCATGAGCAGACTGTTCTAGAACTAGATAAAATCTGAACCAAAACAAAGCTTAAGTGCCCCTAATAAAACATTTATAAGTGTACCGCAGAATTCTTCACGCAAAGTTAAATGGTTTAAAGCAGCCAGGCGAGATGTTTCTAAATCAAAATAAAAATTTTTTGTTGCGAGGATCATTTTAACATAAGTAAATATCAATTATTACCTTAAGGACAATGTTGTAAATTTTGAGGTTAATTTGTATTACCAAACTTTGTTTATTGCTTTAAAATTTAAAAGTAAATATTTTAATGATATATTATTTAAATATGTATAATCTTATATATTATTTTATACATGGTTTACTTATTATTGTTTCTTTTTTAGCTTCAAGAAGATATGGAAAATTTTGTTCACTATAAACTTATCGGAGGAATAGTTTTATTAAAACAGGACGTGGTTCCACATATATTTGATTGCCAACAAGACAGAAAAAGAGCTATATCTGCACCACAGCGAACTGTTGTTTTAAAATGAACAGTGGAAGAAGCTATAACCTAGAGAATAATAGAAACAAATGTTGAACAAGAATTTTTACCATCAGTAATGGATTTTGATGGGCCCTGTACAAGCTCAGGTCAAGCCAGGTTAGAAAGGGATGGATATATTGTGGAAAATACAAAAGCAATTGGGAAGGTAAAAGTGTGGGTACACGGGCAAAACCACATGTTCTGCCATTCTTTATAAATTGGGTAACCATAAAAAATATGAACACATGGCAAATTGTTCGTCGACGCTTTAACAAAACTCTGAGAAGCCATTTCTCGTTTTGCGAATGTACAACTCAATCACTGTTAATCACAAAACACCTGATAAGCTTTTAAGAATAATTGTAATAATAATAATTCTCAAATCAAAACTTAATACAAGGCAGGTATATNTTTTTATTGCTTTAAAATTTAAAAGTAAATATTTTAATGATATATTATTTAAATATGTATAATCTTATATATTATTTTATACATGGTTTACTTATTATTGTTTTTTTTTAGCTTCAAGAAGATATGGAAAATTTTGTTCACTATAAACTTATCGGAGGAAAAGTTTTATTAAAACAGGACGTGGTTCCACATATATTTGATTGCCAACAAGACAGAAAAAGAGCTATATCTGCACCACAGCGAACTATTGTTTTAAAATTAACAGTGGAAGAAGCTATAACCTAGAGAATAATAGAAACAAATGTTGAACAAGAATTTTTACCATCAGTAATGGATTTTGATGGGCCCTGGACAAGCTCAGGTCAAGCCAGGTTAGAAAGGGATGGATATATTGTGGAAAATACAAAAGCAATTGGGTAGGTAAAAGTGTGGGTATACAGGCAAAACCACATGTTCTGTCATTCTTTATAAATTCGGTAACCATAAAAATATGAACACATGGCAAATTGTTCGTCGACGCTTTAACAAAACTCTGAGAAGCCATTTCTCGTTTTACGAATGTACAACTCAATCACTGTTAATCACAAAACACCTGATAAGCTTTTAAGAATAATTGTAATAACAATAATTCTCACATCAAAACTTAATACAAGGCAGGTATATACCTGTCATATGACTTGACATAGACCATCCGCCATTTATATGAGTAGTAATGTCATCAATGTCACAACCAATGAGATGATGTTTTACAAATGGTTTTGAAATTTGAATTTTATATAGGTTTTTATTATTAAATATTTCGTAAATTCTCATGAAATGGGTAACGTAAACTCTTTTAGATGTTTATGTTATACTATGTATTAAAATACAGTTCTAGGCAATGTTTTGTATACAGAAAACACCCTATTGTTGGTGGAGGACAATTTGAAAATGTACGTTAAATTTCGTTAATTATTTGCATTTGTTTCGTTTCCAAGTACAATTTCTTTTATAAAAAATGACAATAAATAATTTTTTGAAACAAATGTCATTTTCTCGCAATATCTCGCTTGTTATTTGAGATAGACCCATCGAACCTTACATCACTGTATTCGTAAGAGAAAGCTTTATGCGAATATTAAAAAATATACAGGGTGTTCCCTAAGAAAAAACAGTCAGCTTTTCTGGGTCACCCTGTATACAACTGAATCATCTTAAAAGATACTCCTCCCGAAAACAAAATCGACCTGTTTAAATAACTCACTATAGAAGTTATGAATTTTGTTCCAAACTTTATCATCACGCTGTATTTAGAAATGTCAAAAAATAATTGTCTCAATTTGATCTGTTTCACAGTAAAAACAAAGCGAAGCTGGGAAATTTGGAGCTGGGCGCACTTTAATGGAAATTATTGTAAATTTTGAAATTCATGAAAAATATTGAACAGTCACATATAATTCAACCAAAAAAAAATAAGCGTTAATTTCAGATTTTTTTAATTCTGAAAATTGTTTTCTCTAATTTTAATCGTTTAAGGATAATCACAGAGATTCAAAAGATAGCCACAATTTAAAAGTGGGAAAAATCTCAGACGAGTTCAATTACTATAATCTTTTTATAAATTATTAAAGTTGGTAGTTGTTTCCAGTGATTGTCGTGAAATAATATTCGATTAAAAGTTTATATGCTCTACGAAACATTATTTAATTTTTATTATAAATTATATAAAATTGTTAATGGTAATTAAATTAGATTTGCATCAAAATTGCGCTGGCGATGATTAATAAAATAATTAACTACGTTCCCACTGTTTAGCGATCTTGATTAGTTATCCAAGTCAAGGTTTTAGTTGTTTGTATTTTAGAGCCCTGAGGATGGTGTAAAATAACACCGAAACGTTGGCAAGATTTAAAATATAGTGTTCTTTTATTTATTGAGCTTTATCCCACAAAAACCTTGACTTGAATAAAATAATTACTCAACACACCACGACTCGTTCCAACTTCCGTTCATCACTAGCGACATCCAGTACACAAAAACAAACTAAAATTCTCAATAATGATCATCTAGCGACTAAATGAAGTAACTTGGTATAGAGATAATTTTTTCCTTAGAACATTGTACTTTTGTGTCGGGGCATTTACAGATTTGCCTGTATATTTCCTCCCATCTTTTTTATGTAAAAATTTAAAAAGATTGACATGACCACTCCGATCTAGTACACGATTTATATTTAATTTTTAGGATGCTTAAAATTCAACGAAAATTATTTGTAGCTAATGCGGCACTATCGCATTTTATGAGAAATTCATGGAAATTTAAAAATGCCAAAGTGGAAGCTT